CTGCTTTTATCCAAATTGGCTTATCCAGAAAAGGACGCATGACAAGGTCAAGACTTGCTTGGGGAAAAGAACATTCTATTATTGTACATTTCATTATTTCTTTATCAATGCTGCATCTTACTTGTTTCCTGTCCAGAAGCCAAAGATCTCGCCGTAAATTTAGTGAAAACACTAAGCCTTCTGCGGTAGGTAGTTATGTTCTAACAATCTTTTCCCACCATTTAGGATATAATTGATAGTTACAAATTAGTTGATACTTCTTAGTTCTTAGACACTTATAAATTCTTTTTTCAACGTGAATCAGCTTCCTGTTTGCTTCTGTAGCCATTTTTCGGCATTATCTTCGCCCCATCCGTTAGAGTTTAATCAGTCCAAAATGCTGTAAAAGACAAAAGCACTTGACTAAAATTCATGACATGAAACATAAATTAAAATTCGTCACCATGGTTGTTATTTGTGCTGCCGTACTTATTTTCGGTATCGTGGGTGAGGAAATGGTCAGGTGAATTCGCTTTTTTGAGGATAGCATGTCCAGTGATCGCTTACTGAAAAATTGTTTTACCCTTTCATTGATTAATCTTGCTTTAGTTTGCTCATCATTTTCAGTAAACTCGAAAATTTTTTGTGCTACTCTGTATTTCCCATACAATTTTTATATGTAGGAGAGGTATTTTAAATTTTTATCAGCATCGTTTTCGTATTTTTATTTTTGCTTCTTATTTCCAAAACACTCTTCTAATTGGCGGGGAAAGGAAAGGGAAGGGGGCCGATGATTAAAGAGAAAAGATTTTCTGGAAAGTTTTAATGACAAAAATGTTATTGCCTGGATCTATCTACTTACTCGTAAAAAAGTAATGATATGTGCATTTTACAGGACATTAATGAAGGTCGATTGTTTTACCGCATTTTGAAAAGGCCGTTCGATGAGGATAGTGAGATTGATGACGATGGGCAGCAGCTTATTCGTGTGACGGTCGCCAATTTAACAGCATCAAAAATATTCGAAAAACGGCAGAGTCAGCTGAGAGCGAGTGAACAGCATGTGGAAATGCAAATCCTAACAGCGCTCACTGTTCCTCTCTCATCTATTTCACAGATTGACAAAACTGTCCTGCAGGCGAGCGCCAGGGACTAC